TTTTATAAATGCACAAGATGAAACCCGAACCGAACAACAATACAGCCATCCGATCGTTTACAGTTAGTTTACAGTTTACAGTTTATAGTTATTCAGTTACCGCAACGAGCATTTCCTTCTTGTTAGGTGTGTATCTCGCCCTCATATACATGCCTTATATTTTTCTACAATATTTCTGACCGTTTCTTTTAGTTTTATTCTGTTCTCCCTTCATTGTTACCTCCGCCAAGGAGGTTATGTTTTTGACGGCGTTGGTTTGTTTGTTTGTTAGGAGCGTAGCTCAAAGAGTGCTGGCCGGAAAGGGACTAACTTAGAACTGATTAAATTTTGGTGACATTCCGAATTACCGTCTGGACGCAGCCAAAGTATATATATTATAAACGCACCTTGGCGGAGGTCTGCACTCTCTGAGTGCTTTTCTAGTTGTGTATTTTATGAACTTTTATTCTCGCTTTATCTAATTATTTTTGTACTGATGGTGGATATTCTGTCTACGTTTATAGTAAAGATAATCGCCACAGCCCTGGTTCTCCTATCATGGTATCAACAACAAACAATATATATACATATATGTGCGCGCGCGCACATATATGTGTATATATTGTGTGTGTGTGTACTTTTACATATATATCATTGTGTATATGTATATATATATATATATATATATATATATATATATATATATATATATATATATATGTATATATATATGTATATATATATAAATGTATGTATTATAATGCATGCGTGTGTGTGTAGAATTCAGGCTCTGAAGAAGCAATGCAGCGGAAAGGCCTTTGGCATATTCGTGTGTTTTCTTGTTCTTCCCTTCGTTCTATTTGTGTGCGTGTGTGTGCTTGCTTATACGTCCGAATGTAATATCGACGTTTATTTTGCATATGTAAATATGCATACACTCATATTAATGTTCACATAAAGAGACATACAAATGTCCAACATACATTATGTACACACACACACACAAAGACGCACACACACACACACACAAACAAACAAACATACACACGTGCACACAAACGCACACACAAACGCACACACACACACAAACACACACACACACACACACACACACACACACGCGTGCATACACTAATATTCATACAAATACAAATGTCCAACATACATTATGAATATATCCGCCTTTGAAAGAGAGGGGAGATGGAGAAAAGAGAGCGGGAGATAGAGAAAAACGAGCGAGAGAGAGAGACAGAGAGACAGAGAGAGAGAGAGAGAGAGAGAGAGAGAGAGAGGGGGGGGGGGGAAACAGAAAGGCAGATGACCGTGAAAGAGAACCTTGAGTCATGTCGACTTTCTTTTCTTTCTAGACATCGCTTGTTCTTAATTATTTAGGAAGCACGAGAGGGTTTATTACAAAAAGCTAATTCTGAAATCATTCATATCTCTCCCAGTCTCTTATCTCTCAAATCTATCCGTCCTCGATATCCCTGTCGTGGGTAGTCTCCGTGATTGCGTGAAACCAGTTAACTAAAAAAAAAAAAAAAAAAAAAATCCCCGAAAACAGCTGATAAGGTTCCGTTACGAAGGCCTGAGTCAAACGAAAATAAGACTTCATCGCGAGTAATCCTAAAAAAAGTATTAATAAGATGAATAATATAATGACGTGTTATATTTTCTTAGGATTGCAAGATTGTGATCAACTGCACATCTTATATTTTGTAATAATGACTTCGCATCATAAACTTACCTTTTTTTCCAAATTCTGTAATAGTCACGTAGAGTAAATCCTTCCCGTTGTCTGGACCAGTGACTGGCTGTGTCGCTGATTGGCTGTTGACCCATATAGGCCGTGGGGAAAGGGGGGGGGGGGGGTAAGGCCGAGCTGGAAGAGCCATACAGAAAGGAATCTTTTCATCTCACAATATTTCACCATCTGCACGCTGACAATATCGTGACGGAAAAGTGTTTCACAACTATTAGTGTAGGTTACTGTGAGTTCAATGCGATTGAATCGGTTGAGTAAGGTTCACTCCTCCTCCTCCTCCCCCCTCCTCCTCCTCCTACTCCTCCTCCCCCCTCCCCCTCCTCCTCCTCCTCCTCCTCCCCCCCCTCCTCCTCCTCCTCCTCTCCTCCTCCTCCTCCCCCTCCTCCTCCCCCTCCTCCTCCTCCTCCTCCTTCTCCTACTCCTCCTCCTCCTCCTCCTCCTCCTCCTCCTCCTCCTCCTCCTCCCCCCTCCTCCTCCTCCTCCTCCTCCTCCCCCCCTCCTCCTCCTCCTCCCCTCCCCCCCTCCTCCTCCTCCTCCTCCTCCTCCTCCTCCTCCTCCTCCTCCTCCTCCTCCTCCTCCTCTCCTTCCGATGGTGTTTAATGTGGCCATATGCTAGCGATTTGTATGCATTTATATACCTACGTTTTTCGTCGTATAATGACCGCTTTCTGGTTGGCGTGCATGTCATTGGACCTTTTACGCCGGCGATGCTCACCTGCTTGAAGAAGTGTCTCTTTCTCACAAAGAATACGACGGAAATTGTTGCGTTTCAACGTCCTCTTCTGAGAGCGACCGATTCCCTTCGCACCGATAGATGCTTGATCGTTATATAGGGGAAGGGAATGGGTCTTGGGTGTAGACATATTACCATTTATGGGAATCTCCTCCGGCTCAGATTTTAATAATCCGAGCTTGCCCTTGACAGACTGATCATACAATGGATGGTCGTGTCTGTCCAGTCTTTTAAAGGAGACACTGATAATTCCTTACCATTATCAACCGTCTCCACAGACAGAGTATAGCTATCGGTATCGGAGTAGCAAAGCTTCACCCGATCTCCGTAATGAGACTTTAAACCTAAATAAAAGTTATACATCATCATTCTAGACAGTCGTAAGATAATAAAGCCAATGTACTGTGGGTAATTCTTGAGATTGTTATTACTCGGTTAGGGGCAAAGGCCTCGAGTCTTTTGAAGAGAGAGCTTCCGATCTCTTTGAGAAATGAGGAGGCATTCCACTTGCTAGCGCGTTTAGTCTGTTTAGAGGGTTTATTAAACACCGCCCGATTACACTGTTTGAGAGCATTTTAAAACACAACTTGTGCTTTAGTATTTTCGCCAGTTAGAAGCTGTAGGTGTTTAAGTAGGATGAGGTAATTTTTTTTTTTTTTCGTTCTTTTCTGCGATGTTAGGAGACAACGCATTGCTCGTAGTAAAGAGAATTTTATGAATGAATGGTTTTCGACGTGTTTAATGAAAGGCTGTACGGTCATGGTTAATTACTCTCTCTCTCTCTCTCTCTCTATCTATCTATCTATCTATCTATATATCTACCTATCTATCACTCTATTTCCCTTTCTCCCTTTCCCTCTTCCTCGTCTCTTTTTTCCCCCTCTCTCTCTCCCTCTCCTCCTTATCCCTCTCCCTCTTTGCCTCCCTCTCTTTTTCTCCCTTCATTTCGCCCTCTCCCTCCCTCTTGCCTCCCTCTTCTCCCTCTCCCTCCTCTTCCTCCCCTCTCCTGCCTCCCCCTCTCCTCTCCTCTCCTTCCTCTTCCTCCCCTCTCCTGCCCCCCCCTCTCCTCTCCTCTCCTTCCTCTTCCTCCCCTCCCTCTTCGTCTCCCTCTCTTCCTACTTCTCCTCCTTCTCCTTCTCCCCCCCTTTCCTCCATCCCCTCCTTATTCTCCTCTCTCTCCCTCCCCATTCTCGTTTCTCCTCACTCCCCTCCCCTTCCCCTCCTCCCTCTCTTCCTTCTACTGCTTCTACTTCTCTCCCTTTCCTTCTGCTTCTTCTCCTTCTCCCCCCCCCCCCTTTCTCTCCTCCTTCTCCCTCTCCCGCATCTAATAAACATATCGATAGTGATCATTTTCTTCTCTCTCTGCTTGCCTTCCCCTTTCTTCTCGCATACTTCTGTGTATACCTGCGCTGGCGTGTACAAGTGTAATCAAAGCTTCTGAAAACAGCTGATGGTGTCACGTAGTTCTCGCGGTGACTGTTCGTGAAGTAGTGTCATATTTGGCTCTAGAATAAATTTTGATGACCTACCTAATCATTACCTCCTGTATAAATGGAGGCCCGAGCCTGATGTTTTCCCAGGTTATTTTGTTTTCTTCGATTTATATTTATTATTCACTCATTAGAGATATCGAATACTGAATCATGCATGAATTGTGCACATAGTGGTTTTACTTTTGATTGTTTTTCTAAGCATAACATTTTCTTCTATTGGAGCAGGCTGCGTGGGCTCTAGCACGAGAGCGCGAGATGGTATGTATGAGTGTCGTTACTGCTACTTGTATTGCCACAGTCATCCTTACTTAGACGTTATACTACTTAGACGTTCCTAATTTTGTTTGACTTATTTTCATGGATATTGTTGCTGTGATTACTGCAACATAGCCTAAGCATTAATATTGTCTTATCTTGATAGTATCTCTCTCTTTTCTCTTTCCAGAGGGAGGCCAAGATGAAAGCGCATGAGCAACAACAGCAAATCGCAAGACTAGAACGTGAATCCAGGCAGGCTACGCAGGAGGCGCAGTGGGCCCAGGCGGAGCAGGAGAAACGGGCGGAGCGGGCGGCCCAGTTTGCGCGGGCGAGCCAGGAGGAGCAGCGGGAGGCCGGTATACTGTGTATTAAGCACTAATAGGCCCGCGTGGCTCCCACGTGGATGCTCGCAGTCTGCCACGTGGCGCGCCCACGACTTGACGCTTCTCTCGCCCCACACGCGAAGATCGGATATTTAAGGACCCGGTTTGCCCCAACTACAGCCTCCGGGCTAGTACAGTGGTAACGTGTCGGCCTCTCATCCGAGGGGTCGGCGGTTCGCGCCCCGCCCAGGCGCGAGAAGTTGCAATTGTCGCCTGGAGGTTACTGCTGTGGCTGGGCACCACTAAGCTCATCCGAGTCAGCTGTAGGACCAAGTTAAGGTCCCTCTGGGCCTACGGCTGCACCTCCGCCCCGCTGGGCTGGGACAGCCGTGACCTTACCGCCACCCGCGCGCTTGTTCCCAAGATTGTCACGTGTGTATTCATATCTCTGTGTGCTGTACTCTTAGTCAATAAAGAGTCAAAGCATCGTCCCCTATTACTGCTCCTGCTCACCAATGTCTAAGGCGTCATTATATACCCTTTACACCCAGTTGCAGCGGGCGGCCCAAGAGGCGCACTAGGGAAGGGGAGCTCAGCTGGCGAAAGGTGAACATGACAGACGGGCGGAGCGGGCGGCCCAGACGCAGCGGGAGGCCCACAGGCAGCAGGAGGCCCAGAGGCGGCGGGAGGCCCAGGAGACGGAGTGGTCAAGAGAAAGAAACATGAATCAACAAGAACAAGATAGACGGGCGGATCGGGCGGCCCTGTCAGCGCGGGCGGCCCACAGGCAGTGGGAGGCCCAAAGGGAGCTGGAGGCCCGCAGGCAACAGGAGGCCCAGAGGCGGCGGGAGGCCCAGGAGGCGGAGTGGTCAAGAGAAAGAAACATGAATCAACAAGAACAAGATAGACGGGCCGAGCGGGCGGCCCAGTCAGCTTTGGGCCTCCCACAGGCAGTGGGAGGCCCAAAGGGAGCAGGAGGCCCGTAGGCAGCTCGAGGCCCAAAGGAAGCTAGAGGCCTACAGGCAGCAGGAGGCCCGCCGGCAGGAGGAGGCCCGCCTGCAGGAGGAGGCCCGCAGGCGGCGGGAGGCCCAGGTGGCGGAGTGAGCTGAAGCTGCGCGGGAGGTGCTGCTGGCGGAGCTTCGAGGACCGAGTCGAGCTCCGCAGCAGTAGAGCTCAACGCAACTCGAGGCCCAAAGGGAGCTAGAGGCCTACAGGCAGCGGGAGGCCCGCCTGCAGGAGGAGGCCCGCCTGCAGGAGGAGGCCCGCCTGCAGGAGGAGGCCCGCCGGCAGGAGGAGGCCCGCCTTCAAGAGGAGGACCGCAAGCGGCGGGAGGCCCGCCGGCAGGAGGAGGCCCGCCTGCAGGAGGAGGCCCGCCGGCAGGAGGAGGCCCGCCTTCAAGAGGAGGACCGCAAGCGGCGGGAGGCCCGCCGGCAGGAGGAGGCCTGCCTGCAGGAGGAGGCCCGCAGGCGGCGGGAGGCCCAGTTGGCGGAGTGAGCTGAAGCTGCGCGGGAGGTGCTGCTGGCGGAGCTTCGAGGACCGGGTCGAGCTCCGCAGCCGTAGAGCTCAACGCAACTCGAGGCCCAAAGGGAGCTAGAGGCCTACAGGCAGCGGGAGGCCCGCCTGCAGGAGGAGGCCCGCCTGCAGGAGGAGGCCCGCCGGCAGGAGGAGGCCCGCCTTCAAGAGGAGGACCGCAAGCGGCGGGAGGCCCGCCGGCAGGAGGAGGCCCGCAGGCGGCGGGAGGCCCAACTCGAGGCCCAAAGGGAGCAGGAGGCCCGTAGGCAGCTCGAGGCCCAAAGGGAGCAGGAGGCCCGTAGGCAGCTCGAGGCCCAAAGGGAGCAGGAGGCCCGTAGGCAGCTCGAGGCCCAAAGGGAGCAGGAGGCCCGTAGGCAGCTCGAGGCCCAAAGGGAGCAGGAGGCCCGTAGGCAGCTCGAGGCCCAAAGGGAGCAGGAGGCCCGTAGGCAGCTCGAGGCCCAAAGGGAGCAGGAGGCCCGTAGGCAGCTCGAGGCCCAAAGGGAGCAGGAGGCCCGTAGGCAGCTCGAGGCCCAAAGGGAGCAGGAGGCCCGTAGGCAGCTCGAGGCCCAAAGGAAGCTAGCTGGCAGGAGGAGGCCCGCCGGCAGGAGGAGGCCCGCCTTCAAGAGGAGGACCGCAAGCGGCGGGAGGCCCGCCGGCAGGAGGAGGCCCGCCGGCAGGAGGAGGCCCGCAGGCGGCGGGAGGCCCAGTTGGCGGAGTGGGCCCAAGCTGCCTATGAGGTGCAGTAGGCGCAGCTGGCGGAGCTGCGAGGAGCTCCGCAGCAGTAGAGCTCAGCGCAGCGGCTCTGCCCCTTGCCACGGACACCAGGCAGGGCAGAGTCGTGCGCTCCGCCACCCCCTTACCACCCCCTTGCCACAGGTAGGTTACGGAGAAATTGTGTTTTCATGTTAGCAGGATGTTTTTGCTTCTTTTTGTCCTGAGGAAGAAGAAGAGGAAGAGGAAGAAGAGGAAGGAGGAAGAAGGAAGAAGAGGAAGAGGACGAAGAGGAAGGAGGAAGAAGGAAGAAGAGGAAGAGGACGAAGAGGAAGGAGGAAGATGGAGGAAGGAGGAAGAAGAGGAAGAGGACAAAGAGGAAGAAGAGGAAGAAGAGGAAGAGGACAAAGAGGAAGAAGAGGAAGGAGGAAGATGGAGGAAGGAGGAAGAAGAGGAAGGAGGAAGATGGAGGAAGGAGGAAGAAGAGGAAGGAGGAAGATGGAGGAAGGAGGAAGAAGAGGAAGGAGGAAGATGGAGGAAGGAGGAAGAAGAGGAAGGATGGAAGATGGATGAAAGGAGGAAAGAAGAGGAAGGAGGAAGAGGACGAAGAGGAAGGAGGAAGATGGAGGAAGGAGGAAGAAGAGGAAGGAGGAAGATGGAGGAAGGAGGAAGAAGAGGAAGATGTGACTGTTGTACCTTTATGATTACAATGATATCAGGCCATTCAAAAATCATTTGTTTGTGGTCACACATATTACACAATTTACTGAATGGGTTTAAGTTTACAACATTGGATGCTGATTAGTTGAAATTGCAAATTCTATTCGAGATCTTGAAAAAATTGGTAAAGATAAAATACGTAATTTCCATAAACATCATGATCACAATTCATTTTGACATCAGGTGGCAGATAAGGCGGGAAAGGACGGTCTTCTCTTGGTCTCCATCTTCTTCCACCGTCTTCTTCCTCTGTCTTCTCTTTCTCCTTCCTCTTCCTCCTTCCTCTTCCCCTTCCTCCTATCTCCTCCGCGTACTGCAGTCGTCTCTGCCGAAAATAGAAAAATAGCATCTATAATGGCATCTATTCTAAAACATAGGCAAACAGTGCCGCAGAAAAAAAAAATTGGTTCGCACATAAAGAGATAAACGTAGCTACAATTACAATGAAAGATAAAATACGCAATTTCAATAAGCATAATCACATCAAAACATACGCAACTCCACATAAACAAAAAGAAGCAAAAACATCATGCTAACACAATTTCTCCGTAACCTACCTGTGGCAAGGGGGTGGTAAGGGGGTGGCGGAGCGCACGACTCTGCCCTGCCTGGTGTCCGTGGCAAGGGGCAGAGCCGCTGCGCTGAGCTCTACTGCTGCGGAGCTCCTCGCAGCTCCGCCAGCTGCGCCTGCTGCACCTCATAGGCAGCTTGGGCCCACTCCGCCAACTGGGCCTCCCGCCGCCTGCGGGCCTCCTCCTGCCGGCGGGCCTCCTCCTGCCGGCGGGCCTCCCGCCGCTTGCGGTCCTCCTCTTGAAGGCGGGCCTCCTCCTGCCGGCGGGCCTCCTCCTGCCGGCGGGCCTCCCGCCGCCTGCGGGCCTCCTCCTGCAGGCGGGCCTCCTCCTGCAGGCGGGCCTCCTCCTGCCGGCGGGCCTCCTCTTGCCGGCGGGCCTCCTCCTGCCGGCGGGCCTCCTCCTGCAGGCGGGCCTCCCGCCGCTTGCGGTCCTCCTCTTGAAGGCGGGCCTCCTCCTGCCGGCGGCCCTCCCGCCGCCTGCGGGCCTCCTCCTGCAGCGGGCCTCCTCCTGCCGGCGGGCCTCCCGCCGCTTGCGGTCCTCCTCTTGAAGGCGGGCCTCCTCCTGCCGGCGGGCCTCCTCCTGCCGGCGGGCCTCCCGCCGCCTGCGGGCCTCCTCCTGCAGGCGGGCCTCCTCCTGCAGGCGGGCCTCCTCCTGCCGGCGGGCCTCCTCTTGCCGGCGGGCCTCCTCCTGCCGGCGGGCCTCCTCCTGCAGGCGGGCCTCCCGCCACTTGCGGTCCTCCTCTTGAAGGCGGGCCTCCTCCTGCAGGCGGGCCTCCTCCTGCAGGCGGGCCTCCCGCCGCCTGCGGGCCTCCTCCTGCAGGCGGGCCTCCCGCCGTCTGCGGGCCTCCTCCTGCAGGCGGGCCTCCTCCTGCAGGCGGGCCTCCCGCCGCTTGCGGGCCTCCTCCTGCAGTCGGGCCTCCTCCTGCAGGCGGGCCTCCCGCTGCCTGTAGGCCTCTAGCTCCCTTTGGGCCTCGAGTTGCGTTGAGCTCTACTGCTGCGGAGCTCGACCCGGTCCTCGAAGCTCCGCCAGCAGCACCTCCCGCGCAGCTTCAGCTCACTCCGCCACCTGGGCCTCCCGCCGCCTGCGGGCCTCCTCCTGCAGGCGGGCCTCCTCCTGCCGGCGGGCCTCCTCCTGCAGGCGGGCCTCCTCCTGCCGGCGGGCCTCCTGCTGCCTGTAGGCCTCTAGCTTCCTTTGGGCCTCGAGCTGCCTACGGGCCTCCTGCTCCCTTTGGGCCTCCCACTGCCTGTGGGAGGCCCAAAGCTGACTGGGCCGCCCGCTCGGCCCGTCTATCTTGTTCTTGTTGATTCATGTTTCTTTCTCTTGACCACTCCGCCTCCTGGGCCTCCCGCTGCGTCTGGGCCGCCCGCGCTGACTGGGCCGCCCGCTCCGCCCGTCTGTCATGTTCACCTTTCGCCAGCTGAGCTCCCCTTCCCCAGTGCGCCTCCTGGGCCGCCCGCTGCAACTGGGTGTAAAGGGTATATAATGACGCCTTAGACATTGGTGAGCAGGAGCAGTAATAGGGGACGATGCTTTGACTCTTTATTGACTAAGAGTACAGCACACAGAGATATGAATACACACGTGACAATCTTGGGAACAAGCGCGCGGGTGGCGGTAAGGTCACGGCTGTCCCAGCCCAGCGGGGCGGAGGTGCAGCCGTAGGCCCAGAGGGACCTTAACTTGGTCCTACAGCTGACTCGGATGAGCTTAGTGGTGCCCAGCCACAGCAGTAACCTCCAGGCGACAATTGCAACTTCTCGCGTCTGGGCGGGGCGCGAACCGCCGACCCCTCGGATGGGAGGCCGACACGTTACCATTGTACTAGCCCGGAGGCTGTTGATCGGGGCAAACCGGGTCCTTAAATATCCGATCTTCGCGTGTGGGGCGAGAGAAGCGTCAAGTCGTGGGCGCGCCACGTGGCAGACTGCGAGCATCCACGTGGGAGCCACGCGGGCCTATTAGTGCTTAATACACAGTATACCGGCCTCCCGCTGCTCCTCCTGGCTCGCCCGCGCTAACTGGGCCGCCCGCTCCACCCGTTTCTCCTGCTCCGCCTGGGCCCACTGCGCCTCCTGCGTAGCCTGCCTGGATTCACGTTTGAGTCTTGCGATTTGCTGTTGTTGCTCATGCGCTTTCATCTTGGCCTCCCTCTGGAATGAGAAAAGAGAGAGATACTATTAAGATAAGACAATATTAATGCTTAGGCTATGTTGCAGTAATCACAGCAACAATATCCATGAAAATAAGTCAAACAAAATTAGGAACGTCTAAGTAGTATAACGTCTAAGTAAGGATGACTGTGGCAATACAAGTAGCAGTAACGACACTCATACATACCATCTCGCGCTCTCGTGCTAGAGCCCACGCAGCCTGGGTTTATGTGATTTATCGCCTATATTATGACTTTACCATAAATGAGAAGAGTTATTAAAATTTTGTATTTGATGTGAAGAATGATGGAAAACTACTGAATGTGAAGAATTGATGAAAACTGGTCTACAATTTGAACAATTAATGAAAACTGAGTAAAAATTATATATATCAGCACAGAAACCCTTGGCAGACTTTAATTATATAACACAGGAATTAAACGCAGATACAGCTACAGATTACATTTATCATTTGCACCCAACCCGAATCGTGGCAGCTGTGTTCAGTCCTTTGTCCAAAACATGCATAAGGGAAACTTTTTGGCTGCAAAGACATTCTGTTTACTCCCAAATATTCTCTTGCTTTTAAATCCCTTTTTGTCATATATCATTGATTGTCCCGATGAACAAGAGCAGTCAATTAAATCTGTATTTTTTCTACGCGAGATTTTTGCAAATATAAGTTTCGTAATACGTAATGATTCCACTGACTGTTAAGGCAACACACCTTAGCTTTATTTGTTGTCAAAAGCGATAAATGATATGCGCGGCAGATCTGTCCTGTGACAGAGAACACGGATTTAACGATTTGGTATTCAATAACTTTAATTGAGCCTAGTTCTGGACGGGAATATTACGAAAAAACATTGGAAGCCCTACTTGAAACATATTTAACCAGTAATCGAAATGCTTTCATTGTGAAAAAAAAATGATAATGATAAAACACGTGTTTTTATAGCGTGCTCTAAATACTGTTAAAACATAATTTAGCTTCTCTAAAGAAACTGATAAAGAAGTCAAACTTTTACATTTCGGAGATACGGTGACAATAACCTGAGCCTGGAGGAGGAGAAAGAGAGGCACCGCTCCTGGAATGACACCCGAGGACTACACAGAACTACACACAGATTTTCCTCGTCCTCATTGTCCCGAGGAATTGTCCAGATGGCGGATGAAGGAAGCCCCGTTCTTTCGCTTCCTTTCTCTGCTTGTTCTTTCTGTAGGACGCTGTTTCGTTTGAAGTGTGACGTCATTTTTTTTCTTTGAAATCTGTCTTTCTTTGGTGGACTGTTTGTTGGAAGTAGCTATTAATAGTAGTATTGTTTTTTTGTGTGTGTGTGTGTGTGCGTGTGTGCGTGTGTGTGTGTGTGTGTGTGTGTGTGTGTGTGTGTGTGTGTGTGTGTGTGTGTGTGTGTGTGTGTGTGTGTGTCTGTGTGTGTGTGTGTGTTTCTGGTTGGGAAGAACGACGTAACCATTCTGTGATTCAAACAGTTTATCAAAGGTAGCATAAACACAGGCTCCAGAAGCGGCACTCATGTTTAATCTCTAACAAGGCCCAGAGCAGCCACCTTCCTCTCTCATTACGCGTCCATGAAAGAACGAATTTCGTAACATTCTTTGCTTTCGTGTACCTTTCCCTTTATTCAGGAAGTTACGTGACCCACATCCCTAAAACTTCAAAAGACAAACACAAAAAATGTCGAAATTTCCGTAGACGGGGATATTGACAAACCTTACGTTTGCCCTTCTAAGTTTGCTTTCATGTGCCCTTCTCCTTATTCAGAAAACTACATGACTCGAAATCCCTAAAACCCCCCAAAAAATTAAAAATTAAATCGGTAGACGGAGATACTGACGCGGCCTAAGTTCATATCAAAATCATGCCGGTCACCCGATCGCTCGGCTCCCAGTTTTCCCTCAGCATAAAACTCCCACACCATTAATACTCCCGCTGCGTCGCGTCCATCGGCCTAACAGACGAGAAGGAAATCAGTCCGGATGCCTGAAACTCAGTAATTACTCTATCAATGTGATACTTACGGTCATTCCTCCCCAAATCCGAAAATCCACATCCAATATCCGAAATGCCCCCCGACAGATAGCAATCGTATGGAGTGGCGGATATTAGTAAGAGTCCGTTATGTGGCCCCGTAATCCTGCGTTATGAATAGAAGAGGTTGCCCGTTGCATTGCAATAGGAAGTCGGGAGGCTTTACGTCCAGCCACCAGCCCAGAGGCGGGGGGAGGCTGACCCGCTTAGTATGTAAATGATTATCAATACGGTTAAGTATCCATGTTATGATCGTAAGTAATTTTAGAAAACTAATTCTATCGAAACAAAATCGATGGTGACTAAAATTGGCACTAGAAAGGTATCAATGTTGATAAGACTGTTACTGTTACGACTAATAATATTATTATGTTAATTTTCATAAAGATATACTACCATTGATTGAAAATTATAATAAATAAGGATAATAATTGTAATTGTAACTGTAATTGTAATTGTAATTGTAATTGTAATTGTAATTGTAATTGTAATTGTAATTGTAATTGTAATTGTAATTGTAATTGTAATTGTAATTGTAATTGTAATTGTAATTGTAATTATAATTATAATTATGATTATAATTATAATAGTAATAATAATAATAATGAAAAAAATCACAAGAATAACAATATAAAAAGTGAATAAATAAATATAATGATGATGATGACGTCGGAAGTTTGATTCACTATTGAATTAATATGTATGCTCTACGCCTATTGAAAAAAAGTAAGCACAGACCCCGAAAGAGGGACGGAATAGCAACATACGGAACACGCGTTGCATCATAAAACTCATCTGAGTTTAGTAAATACATTTCTCCTAAATTCACATTTACTAACAAAAGTACACACGCCATGCGAGACTTTAACCCACAAGGACAGATCGAAACCAAGCTACGAGTTCCAAAATCCCACGTCAAGAATTCCGCCTGCTTGATTCAGTCGCAAGCGGATTTCCAATTTGCTTGCACGAGTTCTTGCATTTCTTAGATTACTTGTGCACTTCCGGAGAAAAGGACTCATTTCCCCCCCCCCCTTCCTCTCCTTTGTTAGTAAGAGGGATTATTTATATCTCATGTAATGTTTATCCCAATCGGCACGTATGGCAAGAATACATGCCAAGCCTACTGTAATACAAGTTTATCTATTGTAATTACATATAGATGGCTCTGCGAGTGCTTAGTCACCAAGGAGTCAGTTAATAGTCCTACTTATCTCACCGGTTTACCCTTTTCCTCGACTTACTGAAAGGGTCTTTCGCATTATTTCATTGTCTTAAATGTTATCGAGATTTTAATAACAATCTAATAATCATAACATCAGTAATAATAATAACAGTATTGATATCAACTGTATTAAAAAGAAAAACACTAGGGCCTACTGATAGACTCCTTGCTGGCTGAGCACATGTGGAGCCATCTGTATGTAGCAAAATTCACAAAAAAAAACTACAGAGATTGAATATAAATCCGGGGCGGTTGTGTTGAGGTGGAGAAACAGCAAAATAGTAAACGGGAAACCCATGGCATAAAAGAAAACGGACAGTCGATAGAGGCGGAAACTACAGGAATTTAGTTTCTCTCGTAATTTTGCCACTGCAGCAATCCGTTACTCTAAGTTTTCACTTATCATTTGGTCTTTCTGGAAGACCCAAGGGAATTAACAACAGTTTTAACATAGACTATTGTATTAATAGCGCGTCGGGCATACACGACCAGACGACGACGCTACAAGTGGTGGCAGACTGTGTAGATGCTGGAGATTTTATCAGAGTTGATTGAATTTTACTTTCGTTCTGTTATATGAAATATTATGTACTTTAAAACATTGCCAATATATACAATTTGCAATTACACTGGTGCTTCACAAGAATGTCAGAGGAGGGCATTGTAATCTGACTTTTTTTTTTGTATTATCTGTGTATTTAGATATTTCAGTTAAAGCAAATTTTGGTTTTATATTCAAAAATAATTTTGTATTTGTTTATAATTGTGTTAAAGAAGGTACGCCAGCATCCTGAACCCCATACGTCTTATTATAGTGAGTCTTATGTCTACTTTGAGGAGCAGTGTCTATCGGTATTGTTTGTTTACAGATGAAACTGCCAGACCTCCTGCGCGAGGACGAGACTTCACGACCTTGAACCTGGTTGGATGAGATTATTGTTCGTATATATGTGGATGAGCATATGATAGCAGGAAGCCCATGAAGTGAGCCTTATCAATTGGTATGTGGTTATAACGTGTAGCTAGGATACTGATACGAGTGGATCTGTATAAGAGTCAAGGTGTCTTCTCCTGGTTGTAAGGATCTGTTCTCTTGTGATGGTGGTGCATGCAGTGACGGATTGAGTAGTATTCCATGCTTGTTGGCATTTGAGATGCGACGAAGGCCCCGACGGCGAGCTGCTCTGCTTCCAAGCGCTACAAGGAGGATAGTGCATAGGTCGGTGCGCCTAATGGGGAAGCACGAACCATCTCAGCATCAAAGCTCACCTGGAGCAACCCCCACAGGATCGCTTCTACAACAGGAACCTTCTCACATGGACTCTGAGACCACTTCAAGGGAAGAGGCTCCGGCTGCAGACACGCTTCTCCAGCATGGCTTGGAGTTGCAGTCTCTGGGAGCACTTCAGCATTCAGCAACCATTGTGCCAAGTATGCCTGAATTAACTGCTCAGCTCCAGTGTGTCCTGGCTCGTGTGGCCGCTCTGAAGGAAGAGAATGCAGCCTTAC